GCTTTTGTCGTGCGCACATTTGTTGGGTCACGAGGCCAAACAGCTTCCCAGGCACAGTGAGCAAGCTAATCCCCTGGAGTTTTTGTGTATACTAAAACAGCAGTGTTCCAAATATCAGGCATAGTGGAATTTTATATAAGAATTAAACAAACTCCACAACCAATCCATAAAGCAAACCACACTGATATTTCAAATGTTCTCTTGTCACACCATCTACATCTGCAGTCTTACAACTTTTTCAAGATTTTCACAACTTTCATTACTTTGTTGTCATTATAGATCAGTATACTATGCAAATTACTAGTATAATCACTTTCATTTGTAATTCCATTCATTCTGTTAGAATCTCATTCTTTAGCCTGCTTATTCACTTCCAAAACCATTTTTGTTAAAATCATCCTGCATTTTCTTAGTCTTTCTAATATTTCCTTGTTCCTTTTGACTATATTTCCCTGTAAATGCATTATATAGAATCTTCCTCTTATTCTCTCGCCCCTCTCCCCCAACTCTCTCTGCAACATAAATCTCTGCAGCACTTAGCAAAGTAGTTGTTTTAGTTCTGTTCCAAAGCAGCTTCCATGGCATTTCTTATGTCTATTTTCTATTTTTCATATAGGATTTCTCTCTTATTGTTTTTTTTCCCCTTTTCTTTTTGAAGACTATCCAGTAATGGCTGTCCCTCATTCAAAACCTCTCATTACCCTTGTATCTCAATGTACTAGAAACAATCAAATCAATCATGTTTTTATCTTTATTCCTTTGCCATATTGACCAAAAGTTTAACCATATTACCAACTATGACGTATTTTCCATGAGCATTGTCCATAACTTAGGGCATGGGTAGAATGACACCATCGGCATTGACAAAATCATGTTCAATCAATTGCAAAAGGCAGCTTCACAACTTACATTCTGTGATGATACTTTTAACACCATCAAACAACATCTCCCCATCCTCAACACTCTATGGTTCTACACTCTGCCGGCAGCTGGCCCACAACCATAGAGCGTACGCCCAGAGCGGCCACTGCTGGAAGATTCGGTTTGGAAGCTGCTGCAAAAGCCATGCGGCGGTGGCGGCAGCAGAGGTGCGCTGGCTCTGCAGGTTGAGCTGGGCCAGGGCATCATGAGGCTGGGAGGCACGCGGGTGAGCAGAACAGCTGCTCGCGCAACCCCCTCTCCAGCTGTACAGAGCGCCATTCACTGGCATTTCAAAGGCGCCAAGCCGCAGGAGCCAGGCGGTGGCGAACAGGCACTTGTGCGGTTTGGCAATACCCCTAGGTCAGTGAATGGCGCTGTGGCTGGTTGGAAAGGGGGTTTGCCGGGTGGCTGCTCGTGAGCATGGTTGTTTCATGGCTGCTGTATTGCACTGCTGTGACAGCGCAACACAGCCATTTGCCCATGAGGCTTTGCCCGGCTCTTTGGGAGCCTGCTCACAAGATAGCAGCTGCCCGGCAACCCCCCTCTTCAGCTGGGCTGGGCACAGCGCTGCTCATCAACCTAGCAATATTGCGAAGGCGCCAAGCAATGTGATCACCTTTGCGTCCCCCCCCCCCCGGTTCCCGTGGTTTGGCACCTTCGGGATACCGCTAGGTTGGTGAGCAGCGCTCTGCCTGGCCGGAGGTTGTCCAGGGAGCTTATTTGCAGGGGAGGGCTTATATTTTTGCCCACCAGAAAAATGTGGCATGGCCTTAATATCAGGACCTGTCGTATTTTTGGGGAAACACGGTAAATATATATAAAATAATCAATATATAAATAGACACACTGTATGTCCAGACAAACATGTATATATTTTACCTTCTGTAGCAGGAAACAGATCATGTCCTTCACTTTTAGTTTCTGCAAGCTTTCCTGTTCTCAACAATACTTCTGCAAAGCTTTCCAAAGGAGCGTGCTCATACATGGTATAAGTTATTTCATTCTGTAGAACAGGGGTTAAAAGCACAGCAACATATTTAAATATTTCAACTACCCCTAAAATAATTATGATAGCTAGAAAGGCACTTAATATTCAATACGTTAACTCTTCCCAATGCCAATTGGATAAGATCTCATCTATTATATAGCTCCAGAACATTGTGTAAATCAGGTTATTAGGAGTGTTTAAAAAGTACTAGTAGGCTTTAAACTTACATCTGAAAGATATGGATTGTCAATCAGAGTTTCATAAAATGGATGACACCCTTGTTTTTCAATGGCTGCATTTGCTCCAGATGTGTTTTTTAATACATCTCCAAACTCTTGACCCTTTCAGAAACAGAAGGAAAGCCATTATTGAAATCACATCAAATGTTAAGGTATCATAAAATATCGGGACTTATACTTTAATTCTCCATTTCACTCCAGCAATAAAGTTAAGGGAAAATGGGAACACACAAAGATAAAATGCATACTCCAGAACCTTGAGGTACATATAATATTTCTGTGTGTTTTCTGTTTTCCTATAAAAGGCCCATAACAAAATCCTCTATGGAACACAAAGTAATGATGCACTTAACAAACCAAAGCATAACAACCGGAAAACTAACATATGGTTTCTTCTTACATGCAACGGTCGAAGATAAGCTATTGACTTTTTCCACCACTGTCGATCACTGACAGCATGCAACACAGCCTTCGTGGTCAGAGTTGTGTTAGAAAGGACCTTCATGGTTTTAGCTGTAGTCCACTGCAGGAGATCAGCAGACTGACTAGAGGAAAAGCTGTTATCCGCCTGTGAATTATGCAATACGCAACACATAAGCATTAAATGCTATCTGCCAAATCAAACATTTTTAAATCAACACATTTAAAAAAAAAAAGAAGAAGCATAAAGCATCTTCCAAAGGTTAGCCAATTTCAATTGTTACATTTCCTGCAAGTGCCATGTGAATATGGGGTATCAAAAGCACATTCCATTCTCGGTTATAAATGCATATTTTAATACCCTACCGCAATTTCCAACATGAGTAAAACAGTTTTGTGATTACACTTTATTTATCTATCACGTGTCAAAATGTGTTTCAGAAGCTTACAGTAATCAGCTATTGATTAGAAGCCTGTTAAAGAATCTTGACAAGTGATAAAAAGAATATTTTTGCTTTATTCCAAATGTTTGGAAGGAAAAGCTTGAATATCTAATTGCATATTACAAAATTAGAAACATTTCGGTCTCATTAAGATTATCGTGGTTGACATTGCAAACTTCAAATAGACACCACAGTAAACAAATAAACAAAGCTTTGTTGAAGGTTGTAAAAGAAAAAGCTATAAATAATATGTTTAGTTTTTTTTGGCAGAGTGCCTTTCTAAAATAAGCATGATATTTCCACATAGTAGAACAGTTTATCTAGTAAGTTTGGCTTGGCTTAGAATCAATTATTCATTCTTAGAAGGAAGAATCATAATAGTGCCTATTAATATCCATAAAGCATTTTTTCTTGATATACATTTTTGTTAAAATGTGTTCCTTTCTAGAACATTCTAATGAGATGAAAAACTATATCACATAGCAGTAGACTTATATACCGCTTCATAGGCCTTCAGGCCTCTCTAAGCGGTTTACAGAGAGTCAGCATATTGCCCCCAACAATCTGGGTCCTC